TGCGAGGCCTCTCTGGCTAAAGACTGTCAGGGTTGCCTCCGCTTACTTATTTCCAGGGGTAAGCATGCGACTCCGTGTCTGCCATGGAATCCGTGGGGAAGCAGCCCTGACGATGGACGTCGTGGAACGGACAACCCTCGGATGGGATATTATGAAACAGACGGCTAAGGTGCTCGAGTTGGACTCACCTTTTCAAATTGTCCTATATGCAGCCAGCTCGTCAGTAATCCAATCGCCTTTGAGGGCTGTTCAGTTCGACACAGATGCAAATGAGACAACATTCTGCTATATAGTGCAGTTGTTACAAGTCCCGTCGGCGCAGCAATACCGCGACCTGCTCACTGCCATTTGTCACAAGGATGTGATTGATGTAAGCTATCTCCTTGGTAAGGGCGTAGGCCTTATAGACATGACGACGGAGGAAAGGCATATTAGCACTTTAATAGCTTCAGCTATCCTTCGAGACCATTCTGCTGATCCATATGCTTACCAGCCTGCTGCTGGCCACTGTTTCCCTCGACATGGAGCCACACTAACTTACCTACTGCTACAAGCCCATGCTGACCCCAATATCATTCCGCCCAAAACAAAACCTACCACCATGTTGGAGTTAGCAGTTGAGTTGGGCAGCTCGCAGCATGTGCAAATTTTGCTTGAAGCTGGTGCCTCGGTGATTCCCGTGAAAGGAGCGCTCCCCCCACTTTTCCTTGCTGTCCTCCATCGACATAGGACTAATGTACAGCTGCTCCTAGACGCACAAGCGGACCCGTGGCAGGAGATCACGATTGCCTCAGTGCTCTGCCATTCCCTGGAATGGTATGGTTACCCTGCCCGTAAAGAAGTTTTCAACGCTGTACAAGCTGCTGCGGAGCAGAGCAACGATGACACAGTCATTGACATGTTACAGCGTGCCAGTAGCCCCTCCGATGTGGTGAGAAGTGAACAACCTTCTCAGGTGCGAATCAAACTCACTGCTTTGACAGATAGGGCCACTGCTATCATGAAACAAATAGTGTGGAAGTACCACCACATCATTGACCAACAGTCACGACAGACGAATTTCACCACATTTCGGTGGCGCAAAATACTCGAAGGCCTGTCTTTACCAGTGCAACTACGCCCTGAGCTGCAGACACCCCCGGAGCTCAACCAGGAAGAAACTTTCCTACACCAAGTCGACTAATAGTGAGCTCCAGTTGAATATTTGCCCAGTAGGATGTGAGCATCAGACAAAAAGGAATTCCGGCCTGCCTGTTATCTTAATACACACGAAAGAATGTACACATCACCATTTTCCATTTGCATCATGATATGTGTAATGTACTAGCACCGTGTGCTCTGTCACAGAGAGATACTGCTCCCTGCGATCCCATCGGCTCAAGAGACAGTCGTAGACAGTCTTGCTACCTTAGCTCAGTTTCAGGAAAGGGCCATACAGTTCTTCCTCATTACGTTACGGGATAGAAATTGCCAACTTCCCGATTATTGGGCGAAGGGTATTGCTATAGTTTCCTCTTCACTCCACAAAGTACATATTGATCCTCGTGCATTGTGACCACATTCCGATTGTACCCATCATTGCTCATTCCACTTCATCCTGCTTTTCGTTTCCTTCCATTTAACGTCTGGTTTCTCTGGCCAAAGACGTGCCAGGGTTATCAGCGCCTCCTTTCATCTCCTCTCCCTTTCTTCTTTTTTCTCTCTCTCGTGCCTGGATTCTCTGACTAAAGACTGTCAGGGCTTCCTGCTTCTTCTTCCTGCTCCCTCCTCCTGATTCACCTCTTTCGCTCACTACGCTTGCTCTGCCTCGCGTAGCCATTGCTTCCTAGGCTCTTTGTCCGGGTTATTTGATTTTATCCTTTCAGTTGGTGCTCTGGGTGCTTGAACTGCCTGGCCAAAGACGTGTCAGGTTTTTCAACACTTGCCCCCCCTCTTCCCCCCTGTTTGATTCGTTCGTCGTGTGTTGTGCTGTTGACCCTTTTCCTTTGCTGCCTGCTTTGTTTGTCCTTCTTTTGTTCCTCCCTGCATGATGGGGTCGGTTCGTTTCGTTTCGTTTTCGTTTTCCAGGAACTGGATGTTTGGCGTTTCGTTTCGTGGGAGCCTACGGTTCGGTTCGTTTTGCAGAGATGATCGGTTCGTTTCGTTTCGTTTCGCACTTATTGAACATATTTTCCGTTTCGTTTCGTTTCGTTTCCGTTTCACAGACGGTTTGTGACTTCAGTGTGATGAACTATATATGTTGGAAAGCTTGCGGGTCAGAAGGATTGGAAAGTAGATTTGAGACTTTGTTTAAGAGCAATGTCAAAAATGCTGCCTAAGCATCTTGCGCCCCCGGCGTTGGCGGCAAACCCTGTGCCTCACATCCTGTTGACCATTGGAGTTTACCTTTTTGGCTTGCCAGAGTTGCAGCAGGGGCCAGAGTCGGACCAGCCACGGTCCAAAAAACGTGGTCGTCCTCGCAAAGAGGAGCAGGAGCTTGTTCCTGAAGGCAAAAGCCGCAAGGCATATGGACGAAAATGATTTCTCTTTCTTCCAACAAGAATTTTCACCTGCAGGATTCGTTCATGTTTTTACTTTTTTGTGGCGCCTGAAAAAGCAAATATGGTGAACTATCTGTTAGCTACATGGAGAATACATAGCCTGGTAATCCAACATAGCAACGGGAAAGCCACAGGTTATAAGTTTTTGTTTGCTTGCAAATGCAGGCAGAACGTGAAATCACTGTTTTACAGCGGGACTCTTCGATTCGATGTTGTTTGAAGGGCCCTTTCATGGCTCTCGTGAAGCAAATTGTGCGAGATTTCGAAGAGAAGAAGAAGGCACCACTAAGGGCCAGGGATGATGCAAGCAGACAGAATATACAAATTATTTTTAGATATTAAATATCTATGTATATATATATATGATATATATATATATATATATGTGTGTGTGTGTGTGCGTGCCTGATATGTAAATATGATGTGTATATATATATATATATTCGTATATATATATATACATACATGATTAAAAATATATATGTATTTTTTGTTGCTATATATGTATGTATGTATATATATATATGTACATATATATATATTTGTATACTTGTATATATATAAATATGTATATATATATATATGTATATATATATGTATATATATATATATGTATGTATGATTTATATATATGTATATTTAACTATATATATAATTATTAATATTTATATTTACATATATATATATATATTTAAATACACACACACACATTAACGGCCCTAAATAAGGCAAATCACTGCGTGGACGGATTTGCTTTTTCCAGGGCCTGGAAAAAGCAAAAACTCTTTCTCTGTCTCTCTCTCTATCCCCCCTCTCTCTCTCTCTCTTTCCCTCTCTCTCTTTCCCTCTCTCTCTCTTCCTCTCTCTTCCTCCCCCCTTTTGCCAAGGTACGACGCGGAGCCCAATGACAACAAGGACCTTCAGGACAAGAGTTACGAGGTGCCGGGTGTGTGTGTATGTGTTCCCCGCCCCTTCGCTTCCCTCTTACCTCTTCTTCTCTCGTCTTCCGTCTCCGTCTGTCTTTTCTAGCTACTCGAGGCTACCGGCTCCGCGGCGGAGCAGCATATAGATTATAGATATATATATATATATACAGATTATAGATATAGAAGCTTTATAAAGCTTTGGGTTGAACACCTGCTTCAGGCAGCAGGGTCTTAGTATTTAACTTTTTTGAGACCCAACAATCTTTGCTGTTGTGACAGCAAACCACAGAGATAGGACGCTAGATGAAGAGATTTCTGAAATGTTTGTTTCCCCGCAAATATAGGGGCGCAGATTTTAAATAGCTGGATGAATAATGTTTGATACAGTTGGGCACTGTAATAGATACATATAGATGCAGGGAAGGGCATGATAAATAGATACTCACTGAAGTAAATACCTTGTTGCTTCACAGCACACCTGGTGCAACTTTTGCCATGCGCAATTCAGTTTGACCTGCCGGACCAATGAGCCCCCATGGCCAGGAAGAGTTCAAGGACATAGTGGTGCAGCAGACATCGGGATTGAGAATGACGCCAGCAGCTGTGGACACTTTGCAGACTGCTTTTGAGGCTTACGGTACCCAGTTGCTGTATCGCATGAATCTTCTAGCAATGCATCGAGGATGCCAGACCGTTTCGCTGCGAGATTTCCGTACGTTGAAAGCCTTGGATGACGCCAGTCCGGCCGATGTGGCAGATTCAACTTCATCCTCTTCGGCTAAGAAAAGCTGAGTGAGAGTAGGGTAGTTTCCTCACTCTTTGGCTTTGCCGTGGCCATTTGTAGGATTTTTGGGATTTGCGATCCGCAAGCTAGTTGAAGCAGAGATCTCCGCAGGAAGAGACAAGAAACATTTTTTTGAAGCATGAGCATATGGAGGAAAGCTCATTGCAGAACCATGCTGACTTGGATTTTGTTTTACTTTTCTAGAGATTGCAAAAAGCAAATCTTGACTTCAGATTGAGCGTTTCTGAACGTAGCATACCAACAGCTTGATCGAGTGTGACTTTCATGTTTGTTGAGACCCTGCGGTTCAAAGAATTGTGGGGACCTCCGTGAAATGTAGTGGCTCCCTTTTTTTCCGGATGCATGGCACCGAATTGGGCGCACGAGTATTTCCATTCGAAAAGGGAAGAGTTGGGGCACCTACGCTTCTGCCAGCTATGTTATGAGCAACAGCCTGAAGTAGAAGAGGTCCTGGAAAAGTTGCGCTCTGGCACGAGCATTGTTCGTGCGTACCCTGGCTCAGTGCACAATGAATCCTCTCCTAGCTCTATGATAAATCACCTTCGGGCCAAGCACCCAGAGGTGGTTCCTGACGACACACCGAAAAAGAGAAAGTCTGATCACCTGGGCGACGTTGGGTCGGAAAAAGTTCAAAAGACAAAATGCAAGGACAAAACTCTGACAAGAGACTGGGTGGAGCACCTCATCATTGCAAATTTGGAGCCTGTGAGGAAAGCTGAAAGCAAGCACATGAGAGCACTTCTGGTTCCGAGGTTAGGCCCACTGCCTTCGCGGAAGGACCTGGACAAAGAATTTGAAGTTGTGGTCCAAGACATCAGAGATGAGGTTGCTGCACGTGTGGCTGAAGCACTGAAGTCAGGTAGCAAGTTTTGCATCTCTGGCGACACTTGGAAAAACAAGGGCCGGAAAAGACGTCACTACTTGGCCTGCTACTTGAACTTTGTGACGGACAACTTTGACCACATTACCTTGTGCGCCGATGTTGTTGAGGCGCCGCCTCCCCGCACAGGACTGGAAACTAAGATTTTTGGGTTTGCTGAATATTCAAAAATAGGAAACCTATTAGCCAGGGCTCGGCGGATTTCACTTCGACGAAGTATTTTGAAAATTGTTGTCTCTAAGACAAAGGAGCGGTTGCCCCGATATGCTTCTATTTGGCAGGAGAGCGGTATGGAGAGCTCTTTGGGCGGATAGTGTCCAACATGGGGCTGCAAAGCGCTGACTTGGTTTGTGCACTGAGTGACCATGAGTCCTCTATACGCTGCGGGCTGAGAACCTTGCAGTGCCCGCAGGTAGGGTGCGGGGCTCATGGAATACAGCTGGCGATCAAGCACAGCACCCCTCCTTTTCGGCCTCCTCGAAAGAAGCGAGACGCCTCTGCGGCAACCTTGTCAAGCAGCAGCTCCGGCACCTTGGCTTCATCGGTGAGCTTGTTTGCTTTTTTCAAACCTTTAAAAAAGCAAAAATGCTGTCCAACATATAAATGCACGCCCAGGACTGTGCGCTGTTTTTTGCTTTTTCCTAGTCCCCTAAAAAGCAAATCTGTCACGCCGGGCCACAAATAATACATTTTTGGAAAAGCTTGCGTGGATTCCAAAGATCAGGTAGTTCTACATCGAGCTCTTCGTCATCCTCCTCTTCCAGCGACGATGAGAATGCAGTTGCTGGACCACAAGTGGCAGAGCCCAAGAAGCGTGGGCGAAAACCGGACGCTGCTGCAGTGGAGATAAAGGGGCTCCTGAAGCAGCCATTCACGAGGTTGTCCTGTGACCAAACAGTTTTACCCCATCAGCCACACAATTTAAAGGCGTTGAGAATGGTGATATCCCACAATTTCAATCATAAGCAAAGGTCTCACCTTGGGTTCTCGGCTCCCTTCCTCCAAGTGGCAGAGGTATCGCTCGATTGCGAAGCATTTTGCCCGACGGGAAGATCATTGGACATATCTTGAGCAAGAAGCCGCATCAGCTTCTTTACCCCTTGTGGCATACCAGTATGAAACACAAACAAGGTGGAGCAGTGCATTGCTACAACTCATCACTGTCATCCAGAATAACCCTGTGCATGCTTTGCTCAGGACCAGGGCCAACGTTTGAATTTTTTCTCGCGTTCCTTTCACAGATTTCCTACCATTGGGTTCCCTGCTCAGGAACAAGAGGAAGATCGAGGGTCCACCAGAGCTCGATCGATCTGAATTGAAGCTAGCAGTGCAGCTATGCGCTGTTCTGGAACCATTGCGATTAGCGACCCGTTTGATTGAAGCTGAAGATCGAGCCTTGTGTTCTCTCTATCTTCCACTCTTCCACCAATGCAGCGAAACGCTTGGCAAGAATAGGGGAGCCCTTCCCCTGCCCAAGGAATTGAGAAAGGCGTTTGGTGAGAATGTTCAGATCTCTTCTCTTCTGGAGGTGCCAAACAAGCTACGGCTTTTCTTAGCTGCTGATCTCAAAAAAATACGTGAAAGACACTTGGTTGGAACAACTGGTGACGATTTGCTTGCAGTAGCCACGTTCCTGGACGGACGTTTCCAGAAGCACCATGTGTGGCAGTCCATGCTCTCTTTGGAAGACACAAAGAACAAAGTAGCGCAGATGGCGCTACAAGCGTCACAAGACTTTCCTGCGCTAGTTGAACGTTTGCGCAAGCAGGCGCAGGATCCAGTCAATTGGACCCTGGCTGCGTTGGCGAAAGCTGAGGCGGCACCTAAACCACGCGGCCGTGGAGGCCGTGGAGGCCGTGGCAGAGGCCGTGCAAGAGCGCAAAGTGACCCAGCCCCAAAGTCCCGGTGTGCTTCAGAGGCAGCCCTGCAGGAAACAACTCCGAGTGGGCAGAATCTAAAGCGGAGGCGCCTTCAGCCACAAACATCAGCTGAAGAATGGCTTTTCGGGCAACCAGAGCAGCAAGAGAAGGAAGAGGTAGTCCTCGCTGATGTGGATGCGGCTCCTCGGTTGCAGAGCTCAGGGATCAAAATTGGAAAGCAAAGACCCATATTCGAAGTGTGGATGCGGGCTTTTTTGCTGTTTTGCTTTTTTCACAGGCCCGAAAAAGCAAATAGGAAATCTTATAATTAACCAAAAAATTCTCTCCAGAATTCAATCAGGCATTTATTTGTGCTGTATAAATACTGTTTTTGCTTTTTTGCAAGAGCTAAAAAAGCAAATGCAATGTGAACATTTGAGCC